CAGTTCTCGTTCCTTGCTCTCCGTTTTGCATCCCTTTGACATTTGCTCAGTGAATTAGTTGTAAACGTTCTCTTGCTGATTGGTGACGGATACTGTGATTCGCACTGTTCCCCAATCTTCGTCTGTTTGACCCCGCTACCGGCTGCGCTAGTTACTACGTTGCACCTTTATTTGGTCCTCTACGCTCACGTTTCTCAAACACGGCCTTGTCTGTTGGCATTCAAATCAATATTGACGGGCGTAGCTGTAACAGGAGGTTAGTTACTGCAGAAGCACGCGCGTGCATCACAGAAGGAAGATGAGGTAAAAGAAACCTACTCGTTGACCCTCACTGGACTCCGTCTGCGGTCACTAAAGCTTTGTTCAATGCCTCCACACATACCATTTTTTCGCCTCCGCTACCGCTCTGCAGCTTTAAGAGTAAGCTGAAAAAGGTATCAGGTAATCAGGTTACTGTATCGTTGTAGGATCAGAGTAGAGAGCGGGCGAAGGAAGATGAACAGTAGCGAAACAGTGGTTTATGTGGTATCGTGTGTATCTTCCTTGTCTTTCATTGCCGCAGCTACATGGACGTGTCCTTTATAGAGATGATGTGATCACAGCATGCGTTACTGTACGATATTTTGTGCAGAAGAGCACGAGACATGTTTTGATGACTACTGAAGTTGCTTTTCATTGCATTTAAACATATATGTGTGAATGAGGGGACGCGAGAGGCATGTCCGCCGGAGCGGAAGGGGGTGACAAATTCATCCGAATTTAAAAATTGTCATAAGCATCAGCCTCCGCCTAAGTGCAGTAGACTTGCGCCAATACGACCTGCGTCCGCATAATCTTCTCGATCCTCGGAAAGCAACGACAAAAAGGTAACTTTGGACATACAGTTGTAAGTTGTGTCAACGTTGCCAGCTATCGAGCGTGGCTCGATTTGAGACGTGGCGCGAGGGGCGCGGATACAGTAAGGGCCATTCCATTCATCGTGATTGGCAATCACGCAATCACGCAATCACGTCAATAAATGGTGGCTGCTCCCTTGTGGTTGGTTGTTTATATAACGTTTCCTAAAAAATGGTCATGCTCATTAAAGAAATAAACAATCGACTTAAAATTAATCTTGTGCTCCAACTTGCAGAAGACGTTAAATTAATGTCGTGATCGCGTGATTGCGTGATTGCATGATTGCCAATCACGATGAATGGAATGGCCCTATGTGCAGATGAGGGCGCGAGCATTCGTAAGGGACGAACGTATTATGCGCGTAGTGCAATTATAAGTGCAGAGTGCACTCGAGGAAGCTCGGGAATAGCGGAGCTGGACAATGCGCTAGTGGTCTATTAAAGGAAGAGAAAAGCGGACCTCCATGGGGAGAAGGTGGCAGTCGGCGACTGGTGCCGAATAGTGTATCCTGTACGATCCTCTCCGGCGACTGGTGCCGAAGAGTGTATCCTGTACGATCCTCTCTGTCCCTCCTCTACAGCCTCAGCTCTGCGCGTCCCGGGACTCCCGCTACCACAAACTCACAACAGTAAAGTTGTGAACTTTACTCTCAAAACTCGATGCGCCCAGTCGGCCTGACCTCCCTCCCCGCATCTGTCTGTCCGTCAAGTTCGCACACCTGGAAATACTGTCAACGGACGGTACCTTTTCAATAGTGCAGTTGTGAGTAGTGCAAACCGTCAATAGTGCAGGCCAAAACAGCTTGTCACGACTTCCGACACGTGTACCCATCTCAGAAAATCAAAGCGTTCAAGTAAATCCACTTTGCAAAAGTGATTTGCGAGATCCTCCCTTGAGTAGTGCAATACGCCAATAGTGCCGTATTCCACCGCGTCGCACGGTACTGCACTATTGAGTGGTATGGACTGTATGTATACTGTAGCCAAACAACATCTCTGCCTCCGGCCTCGCCCAGCCTCCACAAGAGTGTGGCTCGTCGTTAGGAACAGGACCCTCTCACGGACAATTAGCCCGACATGGTAGGAT